GGTGATGAAAGTTGATGAATTACTAGCATCTATATACATACAGTCCGTGAGTTGCGTGGTGATGAAAGTTGATGAATTACTAGCATCTATATACACACACTCCATGAGTCTTGTGTTGACTTGTGTTAGTGATATGTGTAGAATTAGTTCCATACTCACAGTGGGTTATTCGTACACACAATCATGAAGTCGCGTGCTGATGAAAGGTGATGAATTACTGGCATAGACACAGTCATACATACAGTCCGTGAGTCTCGTGTTGACTTGTGTTGCCGCGTGTTAGTGATATGTGTAGAATTACTTCCACACACACAGTGAGTTATTCACACACACAATCATCAAGTCGCGTGCTGATGGAAGGTGGTGAATTACTGGCATAGACACAGTCATACATACAGTCCGTGAGTCTCGTGTTGACTTGTGTTGCCTCGTGTTAGTGATATGTGTAGAATTAGTTCCATACTCACAGTGGGTTATTCGTACACACAATCAAGTCGCGTGCTGATGGAAGGTGGTGAATTACTGGCATAGACACAGTCTATAAGTCGCGTGTTGATTTGTGTTACTGGAATATGATTCTTCAAAAAGTAGTATTTCAATTGTTTATCGAAACTTTATCTGTAATTTGCCCGTCTTAGAAAGAATCCACTAGCATTGATGGTGATGTGAGATGATGAGTTCCTCTTTTGTAAAGCGATTTTACTGGTTATTCCATCATGCATCTGAACAAGAGTTTTTCAATTATGATCTCGGAAGATGTAGAGTACAAGTATAATTCGAAGGAAGAATTTTCAACTTACTTACTCACTTGACATACGATTTTCACGCCTAAAAGTCCCGTGTTGACACTTGCTGACAGCTCCCAACCCCGTGCGGTCTGTGGTGCCGGTGCTTGACTCTCGTAACGTGACGCTGGAGTGGCCGCGACCTGACGGCCGCATCGACGACTACACCATCGTGTGGTGGCTCGAGGGACACTCGGACAAGAAGGTATGGAGCTCCAGATGCTGGTTAGGACTAGGCATGCTATGAGGTGGTGTACATATGCACGACTACACCATCGTGTGGTGGCTCAAGGGACACTCGGACAAGAAGGTATGGAGCTCCAGATGCTGGTTAGGACAAGGCACGCTATGTGGTGGTGTACATATGCACGACTACACCATCGTGTGGTGGCTCGAGGGACACTCGGACAAGAAGGTATGGAGTTCCCAATGATGGTTAAGACAAGGCATGCTATGAGGTACATATGCTAAGTTGGTCCTAATAGACGGTCCCAGTTGGGTGTTCTTACATGTGGGGTTAATGGGGTGGAGCATATGCACCAAAGTGGAAACATGAATATTGATTAACTTGAATTTAGCAGACGCTGACAGATCTCATGCCAAATGTGATTCTGGTAATATTTATCATGATTAGATGTTTGCAAGACTAATTACTTCACGAATAAATTGAAAGGAGATAGTGAGAGGAGTAATAATCTTGAAGTTTGCCGCGTTTGTGATGTTTTCGAAAGTAATATAATCTTAATTCATTTTGATTGAACTCTGCAGGCGTCTAAGCAGATCCCCGGCAGTCAGGCAACTGAAGGCATAAGTAGGAAAGTGTCTGCACTCATCGGTGAGCTTCTCCCCGGGCACCTCTACAATTTCGAGGTCTTCACGACGGCAAACGGCCTCAGCAGCGACCGCTTGCAGCTCACTACTCGCACCAGTCAGTAAAATTCGAGCGAAATAGCAAAAAATTATATTTTTTCTACTCTGACAAGGATAGTTCAGGAACTTATTCGATGAATTTGTTGCCTTGCATATTTTTCATGCTTTTTTATAGTACATATATATATATATTCCCTCCAAAAGTCAAGGGAACCATACAAGTTATCTGCCGCCTCACAACGATATTTTAATCATTAATGAAAAAATAATTTTTCTTCCAGAACCAATCATCACCTCTGACATATCGATTGTGACCAGCCCCCACGAGACCTCATCGTTCACAGTGAGGTTCACAAAAATCCCCCCCGACGTTACCTTGTTCGACACGTACCGCGTCATGCTCTCCAATGGCGACGTCAAGGAGATAAATGCTACAGATCCCAACAGGAAGGTAAATATCGTAATTCTGCGCAGTAATTAGGTTCTGGTTTTTTGATTGATTAAAAGAATACGTTTGTTCGGATAGAAACGGGAACCTTGATAATTCATCCTTTGGATGAATTATGACGTTAGCAGTTCAAAGGGTTTGTGGAGGCGGTCTCTCGTACTAAGTTTTTGCCATCAAATTTCTCATGCTTGTGTATCGAATTATGCCTAATTTTCATTATCGGGAATTTCAATATCGGATGATTACTTACAGATGGTACTAGAAATGAATTGACAATTTCCTGTACCAAGAATGAACTTATCAAAATATCACCAGCGACGACGAGTATCCACTAGCTGAAAAAGAGTACCTATTGACCATATGCTGATATAGCCATCAACTTAATTACAAAGTTGGCAGATGTATACGAATGATGACGAGAGTCGAGAGGTATAAAAAGTGGAACGATCAGTAAAAATGAATATTGCGATTACTTATGATCCTTTTCAACATTTTTTCTGTGGATTTTTAAGCTATTGTCAATGCTACTCATATCAATAGGACTGTTGACATCATTCGATTTAGGGATAGTGCCACGAAGCAAACTTAGTTAAAGGCTGTCGTTTCACGTTCATTTCTTGCAGATGATGCAAATGTGCTCTCAAAGTTGCTCGCAACTTCGGTATCAGAAACAAACCATTTTCTTTATTTCTGCCAGGTTGTGTTTGAAGATTTAGTACCTGGTCGCCTGTATAACATCACCGCTTGGACGGTGTCTGGTAACGTGACCAGTCAGCCGCTGCAGCGACAAGACAGGTTGTACCCTGAACCTGTGAGTGGCATTAACGCTACCTACCTCTACGACACGAGCATCGCGCTCGAATGGGTTCCTCCTGACGGAGAGTACGACTCATTTGAGGTGAGAAATTGCTATTGTAGCAAATCTTTGTGGTAAATAAATGTTTATCACTAAAGCTGCTGGCTTTGAGCTTAAACATTCTGCCGGGAAGTTCGAGTTCGAAGTGAGTTATGCTCTTGAAATTTGGTTTTAATCGTCTTAACCGAAGTTTATTAAGAATGGTTAACTTAATATCTCCTTGATAGTATAAATTTAGGCTAATACTTAAACTGAATTTATTTAAGATAGAATGAAATCTTATTCGATCGCATTTCTTATCAAAAATGAGTATTATTTTTGATATTTAAAATAGAATAAAATGATTTATTCCACTTATTCGATCATTCTCCAAAAATGGATAATTTTTTGATCATAGGTGCAGCACCTGAACGCCGATGATCAACTCATCACAAACTACACGACCCACGAGCGCATAACCATCGGGGGGCTACGCGCCCACCGCCGCTACGTCTTCACGGTGATCACGCGCGCCGGGGCCTCCGACGCCGGCATCCTGCGATCACGCGCGCCGGGGCGTCCGACGCCGGCATCCTGCGACAGTCCATCCCTGTGTCTGCCTCCTTCAATACCAGCGAGAGCATCCCTGGCATGGTGGGTGACATCACTTACTACCTGTTATCTAAATGACGCTATGTACTGATAATAGGTGACTTCAACTCTCCTACTACCATCTATCTAAATGACGCTATGTACTGATAAGATTTTTGTGATCTATCAAATGCGTTGAATAAATTTCCTCGGAGTCGTATATTGTGTCTGCCAAGTGAGAGAGAGCATCCCTGGCATGGTGGGTGACTTCAACTCTCCTACTACCACTTATATAAACAACTTTAATCATATTGTACTGACTTAAGTTTCCTCTGCAATTTTTAAAAATAAAAAATATTTAAAAATGAAAAACAAAACTCGTAACTAGAATAAATTTCACTTGTGCAGGTGCAAGAGTTCGTGCCGATCCACATCCACCCTGACCGCACCGTCATAAGTGCAGCTGGCGAATCGTGCAATACTTTGTGAAGCACATTAATTGCATATGTACGTACTTCCTTCTCAGGTCGACTCATTTATTTCTAAAATTATATCTTTTGAGGTCTCTGGGCGGGGTTTGGTTCCTTTTTAGCGCATTTTCTCATTTATGGAAAAAATGCACTATTGTGCTCGCTATGTCCGTCTGTCTGTCTGTCAGTCCGTCTGTCCGTGACCTCAAGTTTTCGTCGACGAGAAAATGCGCTCTCTGTCACTCACTGCAGTGAGTACTGAGTTCTATTTTTTTACTCTACTCCTAAGACTACTATATTTCAGCCTGAACCGAAGGAAATTATGTCAGAAAATATATGTTTCAGAACAATGTTCCTTCTTCAAAGGAAATTATGTCAGGGAATATATGTCTCAGAACAATGTTCCTTCTTCAAAGGAAATTATGTCAGGGAATATATGTCTCAGAACNACAGGCAGCATCGCAGGTTTAGTACCGGGCAGGAGATACGTGTTCAAAATCCAGGCTTGGAACAACAAAGGACCTGGGCTGTCCAGAGTGTGGGAAGAAGCGACACCTATCGATGGTTAGTATTGATCTTGCATTATCTTAACACATTGAAGAATTCATACTGTGAAAATTTATTGCGTTCTACTGACATTTTTAACTCACCGTCGCGTAGGTTAAACTGGATCATCGACTATGTTGAAATTTTCTAAACGATCACCGTGGAACTTTTGACCAGCGCAGGAATTTTTATGCATTTTTTTGATATTATTTCATACTGATATTGGATAAAGATGACTTCTTTTTGGAACGAAAATTATTTTACGTAACTGAACAAATTTAAGATTCTGAGTAAGTTCAAGATTTCAATATGTGGACGGGTTCTTTCTAAAAAATGTTTTTCTGCTCTAAATTGCCCTGAAATTTGGTCTTCAACCCTAACAAAATTTAGAGTCACCCCAGCTTCTGGTAAACCAAATCATAAGCTGACTACTCGTATGTTAATTTTCACTGGGTTAAGTTTGATAAATTTCTATCATGTAATTTACAGAGATTTGGACGTTAAAGTGCGTAAAATTTCAGTATCTGATATTGATGTTTGTTTGGGCAGCTCCTCCGAGGCCGAGTCCCCAGGTGTTCCCAACTGAGATGGGGAAATCCTCCCGCACCATCACCATTCGCTACCGTAAAAACTACTTCAGGTTCGAACTTTTACTATTCAAGATTTTTAAAACGCTAGCATATTATTTGTAATTGTAAATTGTCTGACGGGACTTGAAACAAAAGTTTAATAGAATCAACACGTCAAATTTTTCTCATTATTTCACTTGTCAACACGTTCTAAGAAATACTTTGAAATAATAAAGAAAGAATGAATTGCGCTGAAAATATGAAATATGGTGGTCAAGATTTTTATATGAAGCCCTATGTTTTTATATGAAGCCCTATGTTTTTATATGAAGCCCTATGTTTTTATATGAAGCCCTATTTTTTTATATGAAGGTATCAAGGTAACATTTAGTATTTTAAATTTGTATGTGCAGTGAGCAGAATGGCAAGGTGATGGCCTACTCGGTGATCGTGGCAGAAGACGCGTCAAGGGACGCGTCAGGTCTGGAGGTGCTAACTTGGTGGGACGTACAGGCTTACTCGACATGGCCGCCCTATCAGGTACGTCATATGACTATTGCATTGAATTACATACTTCGAGTCTAAAATACTGATTTATACAAAAACTTTACGCTAATTTTACGTTTAATTTATTTAGTTACACGGACTCTTTCCATAAAAAAGTGTGATTCGTAAAGAGGGTTGCATCGTCATAACGGTTCAAAAAATATAACTCAGTACTCACTGAAGTGAGTGACAGAGAGCGCATTTTCTCGTCGACGAAAACGTGAAGTCACGGACGTACAGACAGACAGACAGACAGACAGACAGACGGACGCTCGGACATGACAAGCACAATAGCGCCTTTTTTCCATAAATGAGAAAATGCGCTAAAAACTGTTAACTATGTTAACTTAACGATACTATCAATAACTCAATCTATGAATAATTCAGTTGAAGAATAACTCATCTGAAACCGTATATTCGTCACGTCTCTCCCGCCCCTTCAGGCGACGTATCCCTACTACCCCTTCAACGAGTCCACGGTCGAGGATTTCGTCATAGGATCTGAGGATGGCTGTCCTGAGACGCGCGAGTACTGCAACGGACCTCTCAAGCCCGGCACCACATACAGGGTTAAAATCCGAGCCTACACGGCGCCCGACAAGTTTGCCGACACTTTCTACAGTCACTCCATCGCAACAGGTAACTTCAGCCAAGTCGGTAATTTTTATTTGGAGTCAAGCAACGGAAAATGCCTCAGTGCATTAAATTCTTGGAATTTATTTTTTTTAACGCTGAAAAAATGACATCCACTCATCAAATTCCTTTAATAATAATATTGATCAATTGATTTTTCTCATTGTAAAATTTGTTAATCATTTTGTTTACATAGCTGCAACTCATTGACTTGTGCTAATTTTCTGTTGTTTGTATTAGAGCGCAACAATTCTGTTTGCAATTGAATAATTTCTTTACCTTCCTGTTCACAGATTTTTATCATATTTAATTACAATAAAGTACTATTTTTTTAGAATTCAAGAGCAACTACACATCTCTACAATAAATGCTTTCTTTATCTTGCTGTTCAAATATTTTCACATATTGATTTGTACTAAAGTAGTATTATTGTTAGAATTCGAGAGCAACAACATTGGACTGGCGGTGGCGATACCAGTGCTGGTTCTGGTGATGGTTGTTATCATCGTGGTGCTGGTGCGGCGACGACGCTCGGGTCTCTCCGTCAAGAAAACAACCGAGGGCAACCCGCGCGATGACGTGCACTCCATCAGCGACTCCATCATCGAGACCAGGTATCGGTCCATCATCGAGACAAGGTATCGGTCCATCATCGAGACAAGGTATCGGTCCATCATCGAGACAAGGTATCGGTCCATCATCGAGACAAGGTATCGCTCCATCATCGAGACAAGGTATCGGTCCATTATCGAGACAAGGTATCGGTCCATCATCGAGACAAGGTANTCATTGACTAATATGCTATTTTCACCTAACAAATCTTGAATTTAAGCCAGTCAATCATCGAAATGATTAGTTTTTAGCTTGAAGAACGGCCAGGATGAAATGCCTCTCCGTTCTTCCTTCTCTTATCTAATTAAATGAAAGTAGTGCACGACGCCTGAAGCAAACGCAATACATTTCATTGTGTAAAATTAGGGTCTTTGATGAAAATTTCAGGAGATAAAACACTGGAAGAAAGAATTACTGATCGTTTAAGAAATACAGTCAACTTTGGGCATGATTCACAAAATGTAATTGGAAATAAATTTTTGGCACTCGCTAATGGATGAGCAAGTTAATAAATAAAACTAAAATCTGACAATTTTAAAAATATTTATGATGAACATTATGAGTCTCTTGACAATCAGACATTTAAAATTTTAAATGTTATTGAAGTTGCCAGTAGTGTTAATAAAAAAGTTCAGACGGAAGGGAGATTTTTGTTCTATATGTGTTCTAATATACAGTATACAGGTGAGTCTGCCTTGGCCGTACAATTTGCACTGCACCATGCGTACTGTACACGATGCACTGTACACTATGTTATCTACACTGTACATTTTATTCTCTACACTGCACACTTAATTGACACTGTGCAGGTGTTCTAATATACAGTATACAGGTGAGTCTGACTTGGCCGTACAATTTGCACTGCACCATGCGTACTGTACACGATGCACTGTACACTATGCTATCTACACTGTACATTTTGTTCTGTACACTGCACACTTTACACTGTGCAGGGCTTCAACTCACCGCGGGAATTCATCGTAACGCAAGGACCTCTGGCGTCGACACGGGACGACTACTGGCGTATGTGCTGGGAGAGCAACTCCCGCGCCATCATCATGCTCACACGCTGCATTGAGAAGGTGTGTTACTACAGCGAAGATGTGTTACTATAAGTCATGCTTACACGCTGCATTGAGAAGGTGTGTCTCTTGCGTGTGTCTGTTCAATTGTCTTCATTTGGTTCAATTTAAGAGCGTAAAGAGCTTACGCACTGCTTTGAGAAGGTATTTATCTTCCGTCCGTCTGTTCAATTGTCTTGAGGTTAAAATTGAGGTCTTGTTCAGGTTAAGGTTGAGGTTAAAAGGTTGAGGTTAAAAGGTTAAGGTTAAAAAGGTTAAGGTTAAGGTTGAGGTTAAAAAAAGGTTGTTCAGGTTGAGGTTAAAATTGAGGTCTTGTTCAGGTTAAAAGCGTGAAGAAGGTCGCTAATTATTTTTAATATCGTATTTTTTGTAATCGTTCTCGTTGTTTCAATTGTCATTTGTAGGTTCAAGTTTTTGGAGTAAAAATTTTCTTTTCCATAATGTTCTATTTATTATTAGTGAATTAATATTGTTCCCTTACCTTCTTTTTTTTTCTTTTTACGGTTCGAGAGAAGAAAGTACAGATGGTTTCTCCTTCCATTTCCTATGTTGAATTGCGTTGATAGTGTGGAGGAGGTCAGTCTCATGGCTATGTTGCTATTGAGAAATGTATGAGATTATGAAGTGTGAACTTAGAAAATTTTCTAGCCGTATTACGAATTAGTACTGATTTTCTGCATAATGTGTTTCGTGAGCGGGTAAATCTTATAGAGGCCAAATTTATTCATCACCAGTAACAGATTGTTAGTAATGTACGTACACGATATCGTTTTTTTAAATTTTGCAATGATCCTTTAGCTATTAAAAATTGGAAATATTTTACGCATTCTACGCTTGCATCTCTTATATGCGTAAAAGTTGTAATTGCTTACAGGGCCGTGAGAAATGTGACCACTACTGGCCATACGACACGCAGCCCGCCTACTACGGGGACATACAAGTGACCATCCTCAACGAAAGTCATTTCCCGGACTGGAACGTTACCGAGTTCCGCGTGTGCAAGGTACGTAAGCGGCCCAAGTTTAAGTAGCATCCTGGGGCCATACTTTCAAAACTCGCTAAGTGAACGTAAGTAATTACGCTCTATTTCCTTGTCTATGATTGGTGGATTTGGCTTGAAAGGCCGTCAATGATTGGCTGATGAACTTACGGTATCTTAACTTTTTTGAATGTATAGGCCCAGCAGCAATATGTGAGGGTCGAAGAAAGTACGATACGTGAACGAAATCGAGTCGCTCAAGAAAGGATCACACTAGAAATTGCATCTTATTTGCCAAATAAATAAATGTTGTTCATCAAAATAAACGTATTTCTATACTGAACGACTTGACTTTGTTACAACGACTTATTCGGTCGTATTTGATTAATCTATTCATTTTTGGAGGTGTGAAAGCTTCGGTTAAATTTTCATACCGCATTAACTCTAATTAAATGGGCATGCACGTGTTATCTCTTTTTCAATTTGCCTTGAATAATGACGGGAGTAAGTGGATAGTCTAATTGAACATGATATTCATTCCCAGGGAGACCAGAGTCGGATTATCCGCCATTTCCACTTCACCACGTGGCCGGATTTCGGAGTTCCTGATCCGCCTCAGGCGCTCGTGCGCTTCGTCAGAGCCTTCAGAGAGCGCGTGCCTCCTGACCACCGCCCCATCGTCGTGCACTGCAGGCAAGTTCAGCACCATATTATTTAAATATATCTTTGGCAAATATTTAAAGCTGCATATCGAATGCTTTATTTTGAATAGTTCACTGTTGAAAAATCGCAACGTGTGAATAAAGAGCAATTCTCTCTTAAGTTAGCGTGAACTGAACCAAATAAGGATGCTTTTGTAGTGAGAGATTGCATATTTCAAAGATCATTGCTTATAAGTTCATTCGAACAAACCGGCATTTAGATTATCTGATTAGCTGTTTCACTGGATCGAGGCTTCCGAGCACGATTCCACACCCGGAAATATAATGCCGCTCTATTAAAGCCATTCTGGAGAAAATGAATCGAAGTGGAAAAGTATCATATTATTCGAAAAAGCTGTCTAAAAATTTAAATCAAAACGGCGTCTCTGTGTGCAGCGCTGGCGTGGGGAGATCGGGCACTTTCATCGCCCTCGACAGAATACTTCAGAGCATCCGAGTATCGGACTACGTGGATATCTTCGGCATCGTGTACGAGATGAGGAGGGAGAGAACGTGCATGGTGCAGAACGAGCAGCAGTACATCTGCATCCACCAGTGCCTTATGGTCGTCATCCAGGGCCTTGAGGCTCTAGGGCTTAGCAATCGACCAATAGAAACTCATACCAACAGGGCTTATGAAGGTGAGAAGCTATGGCATTGACTTGTGCATTATACATCTAAGTCTAATAGTTGGTCTTTTCGGCAGTGGTTGATAAATCCTATTCCTTGTTTTCTCAGTCTTTGAATGGTCTTATATGGTTAATATTCACAAATTGTATATTTATTCACGGAAAATTAAGATTTTATTCGTTGCTATATCTGTTGTGTACGCATCATACGACTGGAATAACAGTGAGCTCAATGCTTCTTGACTTCATTTATGAACTGCAGGTTCGGTGTCGAATGGTGCACTGTCGTTCGGTACAAAATGCACAAATGTTCCGACAGTAGTTAGGTGACATCTGCTTCGTGTGTAACACACGAATATGTCTAACATTCCATTCTTGTGCTGTGAAATTCATCTAAGTGATGATAAGTGGCACTGAGTTGAGAAAAAAAAAAAAATGATCTCCCTGACCAAGACGGGTATTGAGAATAACCCAATAACGAGCTTCAGTCACAAGAACATACGTCCCCGATCAAAAAATATAAACATTTCGATCACAAATTTAAGTTGGCAGAATTTGTTCCTTAATCCAATATTTCGATCAATAAACATCTAGAATGATTCAGACAAAATAAGCAAGAGAAATAGTCCACCTTACTTCTCGCAGCTGAGAAATTACGAGGAAAAATTACATAATGTTTTTAAAGGAGCGATTATACGAACGTCCTTCATTTTCTACCTTCAACTGAAGAGATACTCACGTGAGAGACCGAGTGTGACAGGATTTACCGTTGAAGTAGAATGCATAACTAATCTTGACTTCAGTAACATATATTGTTTGTTTTTGGCTTAACTAACGAAACCAAAAATATTCCAACGAATGAATTTAAATGTGTGTGGGCTTTGATAAATCAATTCATTTTTCCGTTAGCCGACTAACCTTAGACGCTTTCGGGTGATTTAACTGCAACTGTTCAAATTTGGGGCAAACTGTATGACAGTTTTTGACAGTTTTTTAGTTAATGACAGTTTTTAATAAACATATGACAGTTATTTTTAATGTTTCGAGGTTGCGTTTTGCTTGAGCTGGGCTACCTAAGTAATTTTGTTAGTAATATCTAAATTGTTTTACGATTAGAATGATATTGAATTTCAATTTGATATTCTTTATAATCAAATATGAAAACGAATTGGCAGATCACAAACATTTATGCCTCCTATTGAAAGTCAGACATAATATAGAATTAATTATTTCTCAATTTCCTTTTTTTCCCAACAGATGACGAGGGCATTGCGGAATCCGGCATGTAAATGAACTTCCTCCATCATCCTTGATTTGTAAAGAGTCTTCCTTCCTTGTAAATAAGCCAGCCTTTTTTGTATTTTTTAACGTTTCTTCAACTCTTCTTGAGTTAAATGTTTAAAGGACGCTATCAGTAAAATCTAGACAATATTTGATTTTACAAGCGCTTGCGTTCTCTTTTAAAGATAATCCTCAAGGGTAATACGAAATTCATGCGACGGTGAAATTGCCGTAAATTTATCACATTAGCTCGTTCTACACGTATGATGATTTAAGAGAAAACGAATGAGTTTATTGACGATGGTTTTAGCTTGCTATTAAGCCTATTATCACGTTCAATTGACGCATTTACGTTTAGCTTGTTATCATCCCGGGGCCATACTTTCAAAACTCGCTAAGTGAAGCTAAGTGAACTTACGCTCTATTTTCTTGTCTATGATTGGTGGATTTTGCTTGAAAGGCCGTCAATGATTGGCTGATGAACTTACGATCTCTTAACTTTTTTTGAAAGTATAGGCCCCGTTCATTGACGCATTGGTTGTGCAGAATTCATAAAAGCCGTCCATTTAGTTAAAGGAATAGTTTATATTTTGGCTAGGCATACTTTTAGCCACTAATCGTATTCAGCTGATGTATTGTACGAGGGGGGACCAAAAAAACGGACTGATTTCTTTAAAATTTATTTATCTATACAAAAATATTCTTTTAAAATTTTCTGACTGAAGTGAACTCCCAAGTCACTTGGGACAATTTTGCAAGTTCTTCAATATTTCAACGTCGATCTTTAGGGATTTGGTCCCTGATTTTCACAATATTTTCTTCAGTGCGGGAAGTGAAAGGACGACCTGAGCGAGGTAGGTCGTCAATTGACGTTTCCCCTTTTTTGAAGTGGGAAAACTACTCAAAAACTTGTGTTCTATCTAGAGCATCATCATTGTAGGCTGTCTGTAGCATTTCCTTACCAGTTTTTTTTACATGATAAAGCATAATTATGCTTTTTTACATGATATATGATTTTTTACATGATATGCTTTTTTACATGATAACGCATAACTCACGAAAATGCGGCATCATCACTAAAACGACGAGCGCGCTACCTCTGTGACACAAAAAATGCGTGATTATGGTATGCGGCCTTCTAGAGCAGCAATGCGGGGCACACTAACTAATGAATCTCAGTAGCATATGCTTATGCACAAATTTGGAGGACGAGGTACTGCCGAAATTTCGCCCACAAACTTCCCTACCTTTCCCTACACTTTCCTGCCCTTCCCCCTGCCCTTCCCTACTCTTCCCTACCATACCCTGCCCTTCCCTACCCTTCCCTACCCTTCCCCACCCTTCCCTACCCTTCCCTACCCTTTCCTAATGAATGTAAACTGAACGTAAAATATTTGTTTCTCTGTTTCATTTGCGCTGATATGAAATGCAGTTTAGTTCTGTACTCGGTAGAAGGAAATCATTTCTCATTTGTGCTGTTATGGAATGCAGTTTAGTTGAGTACTCGGTAGAAGGAAATTATCAGGTAGAGAACGTTTTACTGTGGGGACTCAAGTAAATATTATTGAGGACGCTCAAACTACTCATCTCATAAGTTCGCAATTCGCAATTTTAAATCTAAGTTACGGCCATTCTCGCCGTTATGTTATGACAGTGAAATAGTTTTTTTTCGTGTGTCTACAGCTTTTTTTTAATATTATTGCGAAATAAATTTTGAGTTCTACTTATGGAAGAAGGAAAAGTATGGAGCCAACTCTTATTGAGAAATTATCATCATGCACTAAATAATTAAAGATTACATACGGGTTTAAAGCCCGTTTTTGACTGGGCTAAGACTTTGTCCAATTCACGATACAGGCTGCGTGTGAATACGCTCTATGCTATAAGTTATAATTCACATACCAGACAAAGCATTAGGTTCCTACTCCTATGAATATTACTCCTCCTATCCTACTCCTACGTGAGAATATTGTGCAACATGTATGAGAATAGCACTTCCAGATCAAGTTTAAAATTACTGTACAATATGAAGAATTGCCATACTGGGAAGTAAATGTTGAATCCTGTTATTACCGCGCATGAATTTTAATAAATGTCTGATAAGCGTTGATGTGTTATTTTATTTTTAAATCATTTTACATTTCAATCTAACATGTCAGAACTTTATGGTTGTTTGTATTGCACTATATGAATCGTGCAATTTTCTCAACAGAAATAGTGCCAGGGATTTTCAACAGAAATGGCTAGTGCATATGTTGTTGAAGCAGAAATATTAAATGAGATTATGAACAGAGGTCGAGGTAATCGTTTAAACTTTGTTTCGGCATTATAAATACACGAAAATAATGTTCACTTCATATTTTCTTCGCGCAGTCAATTACTAAATAGGAAAGATGATGCATTCAGTGACCCCAGGCCTTAAACGTTTGATCGTAGTAAAACTATTCACAGAGCTGGGCAGCGCTACTTTGAAATGTAGCAGCCGCTACCGCAACATGCTCTAAATGAAGCGGGCGCTACCGCTACCGCTACAATTGCTTAAATGTAGCGCCGCTACTGCCCACCTCAGACTATTCACCATTAGAAATTTTCTTCGCGCAGTCAATTACTAAATAGGAAAGATGATGCATTCAGTGACCCCAGGCCTTAAACGTTTGATCGTAGTAAAACTATTCACAGAGCTGGGCAGCGCTACTTTGAAATGTAGCAGCCGCTACCGCAACATGCTCTAAATGAAGCGGGCGCTACCGCTACAATTGCTTAAATGTAGCGCCGCTACTGCTACCGCTACTGAAAAAGTAGCGGCCGCTAATGTAGCGCGCTACTGCCAACCTCTGGTAACAACTAACATGTTGACACTAGTAACAAGCTGAGGTTGATAACATTACACCGAAATATTTCGTACAGTTTTATTCTGTAATTTACATTATGTATGTATCATGCTGGTTTTTAAATAATATTTAATACTATTAAGTAAAATCTAAAGGCTTTATCTATAAATGTAGCGGTGGCGCTGTAGCGGCAAAACCTCGTATCGCTACTTAAATATGTAGCCGGCACTACCGCTACAATTGCTTAATGTAGCGCCGCTACTGCTACCGCTACCGCTACATGTAGCGCGCTACTGCCCACCTCAGACTATTCACCATTAGAGAAAAGGATGATGCATAAAACTGATGAATAAAACAATAATAGAAAACAAATTCAAATACTAACTATAAACCACGTCCTTTCTTAGCCCTAGTCGGCAATAAAATATTCACGTCAGACTTCTATCATTCACTTTCTTAATTTCGGACCTCTTTCTAAAAAAAAAATCAAATTTAGAACTAGCAATAAAAAAGAAAATAACATTACGGAAAATAACGGGGGAATATTATGCAACTAAACAGAGAACTTAAGTTTATGACAACTCCACTATCATTAATCAGGTCGTCCTTCTAATTCAACACTGATGTGATAAACACTAACTAATTATGTAGGCTCAAAGTACCCCTGGTGGAATCGCGGGATTCAGTGACAAATAAAAGCATTCCTATAAACATGGTCACGTCAGGGGCGACTTTAACACATTGACTCCAATTGCTTTATCCTGTACTATTATTTAATTTTTTACTATTTAGAATGTACCACTACGTCCTGGTGAAATACAATTCGTGGTACGCAAATGTACCACACGGAGTCAACGTGTTAAACCTATATCCTATATTAGAAGTATTCTACCCCATTTCCCAACAATATACGTATATACCAACAGCATTCATGCTGATATCACAATCATCAATTCAATGGAAGATGCTCTGTGTGTGCAAGAGTAGATTTTCGATCGTTGAAATCGTGCCAGAATATTCGAACACCACCTCAACACTTTTGTTCTCGAGGCTCAGTGACAGACAATGGCATGGTCTTCTAACATTGTCGCCTCATAGTACAGTCATCACAAACTGAACTAATGCCTTGCATAATACCTCGAGTTCCGAATAGAGATTCACTTTTTTGAGGAGGATAAAATGGTTTTAAATTATTTTATCCATAAGTCTTGTAAAGCCTGATTGATTTTTGGGGAATTATGACTACAATGCAGTCGTTTTGTTATCAGCAGAGGTCTTATAAATACACCTCAGACGATGCCATTATCCTAGTCGACTGCATAATTGGTGAAAAGTATGAATTGATGTACTTAACTGCGTATATCAATATCTTTATATTAGGTTAGTTATGACGAGCAATCGGGAATTTTAGAGGAAAACCAAAAATTGACCCTGACATTTCAACATCCATGGGTTTTTATTGATTCTCTAAAAAACTTATTACAAATCTACGCATCAAACTGCAGCAAATGACAACACACCTTGTTCGCCTGTTGTCATTACACTGATAACTGAGATTTTACGTGAAGCACTAGCTGATCAGCATGTTGAGGGCAATTAAATGAGTAAATAAGAGATTAAAACGTTCAGAACCACAAACATTACACTTTTAATCGTATAGAAAGGGCGAATAAAAATGATACCTAAGAACTATATTAATAAGAAAAACTTGATGCAAATGGATGTACCATGCCGTTCCCTTAGCTTTTATCACCTTGTGCACTAAATTATGAGGAAAATGGACCAGAGTCGAGGCACAAAGCAAATTTATTAACTAATGGACCACGAAGAAACCCAGACTCCTGCCAGGCTCCTTCCTCTTTAGCGCCACTGCACGTCTGTATACAGAAAATTTGAATTGAATTCGATTAATTTAGGTATTAAATATAACAATTTAAATTAGAATTCCAAATATTTCAATAACGAAATGTTCATAGACGATGAAACATTTTATTTGCTGAAACGTGCTCAGACGATCAGACTGGAACGTGCCCAGACAATCGGAATCAAGTTCCATACTGAATAGAGAAAAAAGCCCTCCCGAGGTAGTACCGTGATTTTACCTTCGACGGCTATCAATGCGACGATCTTTGGCCTCCCTACGAATTCTCGGCTAGCCCAATGTCAACCGCCAAGAAATGCAAGCCGGCGAAGTCGCGTCGTCACTCGTTCGTCAGGCTGCTTCGCATCCACTCAGGGGATGCTTCGCATCCACTCAGGGTTCACTTAGGACAAGGAGAGATAAATCAGCACGCTGCTACAGTTCAACAGACCCAGGATCTAAACTGCTGTGCTGAGTAACTAGCTGATGACCAAATTCTTAAACCAAGTGATTACGTCTGCATGATTTTGACAGTGATCTACTGTCCGGCCGTGCGACCGAGCCTAATACGTATAACAAGGCGTGACTGCAAGATTCACGGAAATACCGGAGTCACGGTCCGGGTGGGAATTTCGGAATATTAATTTGTACATTTCGTTACCATTTGAGAGAAGAGATTCTTGAACTGCACAGCAATTTTGTACACCTTGACGTAACTTCGGGCTCTAAATTTGGAGCCTTTCTGTGGAGTATAAATAAAAAATAATTTCGAACTAGCGATAATTATACATAATTAACTAAAAAGAAGATTATAAAACAGAATACTATAAAAATGAACAAAGAATACATAGAATAATTTTGATTAAAACTAGATGAACACCACTAAATTTACATGTACATTATTACAAATATAAATAGAAATAATGCTACGCACCTTCGTGGTGGATCACGAAACAGAGACCAATAAAAACCGTTTATACGTAAAGGCAAATTGGCGGTGATTTAAAACCATAATGACAAATATGTAGTATCCTATTGCGATCCTTTACCACCTCCCTAAACGATTCCGTTTACAAGCAATGAATGTGCTAGTTGACGGTAAAGAGTGGGCTAGTTGACAGTTAAGTCATTACAATGAGTGGGCTAGTTTGCGGTAAAGTCATGGAGGAAAAATATTTCAGTCCTAATTTCCGACAACCCGAAAGTGAGTTTTACCCATCAGTTTCATTCATCATCCGATAACACGAAAGTAAGTTTAACCCATCTGTTTTATTCATCTCTGACAACACGAGTGGCTGATTTCCTGCCGAGGTTAACATCTCCGAGAAAAAAAATCAGTTTTCCCTTTTCCACATGTCGTACGTGGACAAGCGGCTGAATCAGCATACAATGGTCATGGGCAGACTTCAATAGAAGACTGGAGGCTCCAGTGTCGCGCAACCCGCCAGCTAGTAGCGAGGTCTTTACTCTTTGTCTATGAAATTACAAAGTGAAATTTTAACACTCTTGTTGTATCTGAAAATGCAATATCTATATTGTGAAATTCTTGTTTAATACGATTATCAATCCTGAGTTTGAATTTTCATACGATAAGCTTCTAAATATTGTTGAAAATACAAAACTTGTGCAGGACACCAGGCTTTTAAATTGTGCTTATCAGTTTCTGCCATTCATATATAATCAAACTGTCACTGCAATCATGATATTATTTCCGTATCGTAAGCTTGGAACTTTGTTGCGACTTCCACTGAATAACAATAACATGAGTCTGTGCTCGTTCACGTCGGCCACGCAGGGCGTTCACAGCAAAAAATTTCGTCACAGCAAAATTAATGTACGTCGATGGCACATGTTGAGTAGCTTTAATCAACCAAGAAGAGTTCCCGTTTCAGTAACAAACCGCGAAAATATCTACCGAGCTCACGCGTCTACTGAAGCATCTCCAGCAACGGACACCGAGCCAGTGCATAAGTACGAGACGATACCCGGTCCAGCCCCGAAACCAGTCCTGGGAAACAGGTTCATATTCAGCAAGTACGGTGAGTTAAGCTTGTGCTCGTTGAAATAACCAGATGTTTTTTTGTTTAACCAGGGATGTTTTTCGTTATATTTACGGTGTCTGTGCTGTTTTTCCTGTTAAATTTATAAAATATAAAAAGGATATCCTGGGAAACAGGTTTATTTTCAGCAAGTACGGTGAGTCAAGCTTCTGCTTGTTAAAATAACCAGGGATGTTTCTCGTTATATTTACGGTGTCTGTGCTGTTTTTCATGTTAAATTTATAAAATATAAAAAGGATTTTTCATGAATTACCTTCAATAAATTCCTTGAATAGAACTTATGGCTCACGAAATATAGTAGCTCTGAAAGATTGTGTTATTATAATGCAATCATTTTGAGTTTTGTAAATTTAATATATTAGTAAATTATCATTTATGCGTTTAAACAAATACTTTTCTCGAAAATGCGTGTTTTCGAAAATTCAATCTTTACCTCCATTTTCTCCTCCCATCCTCGTAGTGTCACTTCCCAGTCAAAGTTACCAAAGTTCAATCGTTGTTTTTCAGTAGCTCCGCGAAGCCTGCCTGATCGACGGAGATTCTGACAGACAAGAAAATTGACATCCCAATCCTATCTTGTCCGTTGTGAGCGAATGCTCTCAAAATTTGCGATTCTAAAGGCTCTTCAACACCTGACGCTTGGCTATTTTATGAGAGCACAGCAGCTTTTCGGGAAGTGTCAGCGGTATTTTTGTGTGTGTGAGACCACGATTCAATTTTGAGTCTGGGATTGTGCGCCGTGCATTCTTGATAGTGCAACTCTGGATCTCGTCATCATTGCATCAAAGTTAGAAAAGAGTCTTGGCCAGAGACTTTGCATAGCCTTAAAAATTGAAGGCATATCGGTGTGTCTTGCGTGTATCATTGAGCGACAGCGTCTTACATCCTGAACACGATTTTTAGTAGTAATGTGAGTGTTTGATATGTCATCCAACTATTTATTGAAGAAAAATTCTTTGCACTTTATTTAGATTCAGTACATAAGTCTCAATGCTCTCCACATTTTTTTAAAATTACGTTTCAATGATATCAGTTCATACTTTTGCGACACGGTACGAGATTCATCGTCACAAAGTCGATCAGTTGATTCAAACTCCCCAACTTCCCTTCGCAGATCTCAAACAAAAAACTTTTGGCTTATGACTGAAAAACTTCTTCTCATGACATCAAAAGGTGTGAGATCGTTGAAACTTGTCACCTCATTATGAGCCGTCATTTTAAAACGGAATGTCATATGACTTTTCGACACGCCATGTCGTGGCTTTTTTACTTTGGCCTCGGTTGACACATCAAAGGCTTTAATTTCTCTTGAATGCGAAACAAGTTTTGCCGCGATGTAAATGTTTGCGTGAGTGTTCTCTTTGACAACAAATACGACCTCTTTGCTTGTTTGCCTCCAGGTTTCGCACCTGAGTAAACACTCTAATAATGAAAAATTGTGATGATACCGAAAATTTCTTTTCGTAACTAAACATATCTATGTTTACAGTGGCCAATCGAAAAAATAATTATAACAAGCGGTTAAGATTAACTAATATCAATAAAAGTTCAAAAGTTTTAGAATTCTTATCGAGAAGGATTATCCAGGAAAATTAGAAGGAAGGATAATGCCGGCTAACATATTCCTTAACGTATGAGTAACTTTCAAACTTATGCCACGATAATAAATGAGCAAATCAAGTTTAATGCTGGAGTTAAAATTGCTCCAAGTTCCTAATTGTGAGGTGGTACAATTACAAATGTAAATGCAATAAGTTTCTTGGAGCCCGAAATAACTGCTAAATAAATGACGCATAGCATAGAATTAAACCTCCATAACTATATTGATAAAATTATTATTTTTAAATCTCATAGGTTGCAAAATAACGTCAACTCATGGAGTCAATAAAGTCAAATAATCTTGAAAATCTATCACAAGATTTTCAAGATGATTTTTTACGAAAAAAATCAGCATTAACAGAAAATGTCAGTCATATTCATGCAGCCCGTTTCTTTTTCGTTTCGTAAAACGTTTATTTTAATCCAGAGTCCCCGACTTTTGTCCAGCCAGAAGTTACTCGTTTCTTGTTGCCGAGAAGCGTTTCTCCAGCTCAAGCTCAAGGAAATACTTCACAAAAATAGTTCGTTTCCTTTTGCAGCGAGAAATCTGCTAGCTTTGGCAGCACTTGTAGTATTTTTAAGAGAAAAGGAGGACATTTTTATGCGTAAATGCATTTTTGAATGTTGTGCTAGCAAGTGATTCGTCGTCTCGAGCCTTCATTTACTTCGGATTAAATATAAAGAGATGGCGCCAGTAACAATATTGTTTCTGCACGGCACTGCATTTTTAAAACACTGGGCTTGCCGCCTCGTCATCGTGAAGGCTTCTTGAAGCTACCAGTAAAGCAGAAGAGCGAGTGTTCTCATGTGACCTCAGTGCTCGCTAACGAAGGCTGCGTGCCTAACGAGCATCATTTACTAAGACATAAGGAACTCTTAGGAGGCTGCGACACATCAGAAAACACAGGTGCAGGTGTAAGAGCCCTTGAAACGCAATCTCTGTAATTCATAAAACACAACATGACTTCGCTAACAGGAAAATTTTTTCTTCAGTGGCGATATTAGTCATATGTAACATACGAAGAAATCAAACATTATTTAATGAAACTCGGTGATTAAAGAATAACTGGGAATTGTTATAGGAACTACTTTGAGCTGTTCGTGTTCAAAATAAATCAAGAATGTAATTTTTTTAACAGCCACAACATGTGTTTATCTATCAATAGAAGAGAAAATCGGTGCGGTATAGTCGTAAAAAGTGCAAGAAGGTAATTTTCGAAATGGGTTATGACCTTATGACCTCATGACGAGTTTAGGATTTCATAGTCCACGGTCACACTGATGCGCCGCCTTCGTCGTCCTCCGTCTCCTAGTCGTCGATAGGCAGTTCACCCCGCCATCGGGTCCCGGAATTGACGTTAAACGTATTCCGTCTACCTATCCTTTTTTGGGCCAGCTGATGCAAGATGCAGTTACTTGTCACTTGTTGAGGGTAGTTTCCCCACAGCTGGACGTCTAGGATCTTGCTGAAAAACTCGCCAAGTCGGCTCTTAAATGTCGCAAGTATGAACTCTCCTCCTCTCAGCACCTTTGGCAAAGCTTTAAACAGCCTCGGCCCTGCCACGGATTGTGATCCCACACGAAGAGTCTGTACTCTGACCGCGGCTCGGTTATTAAATTGAGGAATCCTGCACAATATCCCTCACCTTTTTTCGTTATTGCCGTCTGCTATGTGCAGAGCTTCAGTTTTTCGGCATCAATATAGCCTAATTTCGGATGTGTGCGAACCGCAAGCAAGTTTTTCCCCACGTAATTAGTATTTATGTTATCTGAGTTGGTTATTAAATCCTTATCTACCCGCTCATAAATTACCCTTTGCTTCATTACCTAATTCCAGAATAATATAAATGTAGTCAACATCGACTTGGAAGAGATATAATTATAGTTTGATCAAATTTATTTTTGGACTTGATAATTCCTCTTTGTTATCAGCAATATTGATTATGTAATGTTATCTTTAACTTTAAATATTTTCTAAAGTTTTAGTAATAAAATTAAAGCTTTATGTCACGATCACTTGGGTCTATTTATTTTGTGGAAACTGCTCGAAATGAATAAATCAAGAGAAAAACCTTTTGATTGCGCATGCTTCATTTAATTTATAGATTGTATGAATAGATTGTATGAATAGATTGTATGAATTGATTGTATGAATTGTATTACAATTGAGTATCATGGTGATATTAATCCGTTTTTGCAGGGGAGTTTCCTCTGCATCGATTCTGGGACTCGGTGTTCAAGATGCGCTCACGTCACGGAGACGTCGTGAAGATTGCGGCGGTGAAGCCAGGCCTGGACATGGTGTGGCTCTTCAACCCTGAGCACATCAGGATGCTTTATAAGGTTAACTAACCTAAATAGCTTGTTGAATAACTAATTAACATTGAACATCTTATCATCAATCTTTGATGATTCGTAAGTATAATAATAACGTTTATTTCGAGACAATGAATTATGTTAAATAAAATGAATTCCTACTAAATATTGTGCGATAAAGAGAATGAGTAAGATCCTCAATGTGTTCACAAAATAGACGGGGTGCGGTTCAGATGAATGTTGAGCACGATACGCCAACTAAACATAAAGTTTTGCACAGAACAAATTAAGAAATATTTACCTTTTGAATTTTTTAATCGATGGTGGCCCTGTGAGTTCAGAGTACCAAGATTGGCGCACTAGAGAGGCGCGGGTTCGATCCCAGCTCTGTGCGCCAGTTTCTGGTCAGAATCGGCGAGGAGGCCGAGCGGTTAAGCACAGCAGTATTGTAGCAGTGAGTTGCGAGTTCGAGACCGCAAAATGCTGTGAATGTTCTGCGACGTTAAGAATCGGTGACAGGCCTACGGCCTAATAAACGTTGAAACAGCTATTATTATTTATAACATTCTTCTGATTACAATGTTGATTATCGATACCAAATATGTAAACGCTGCTATTTAGCGCATTTTCTCATTTATGGAAAAAAAGTGCTATTGTACTCGTCATGTCCGTTCGTCCGTCCGTCCGTGACTTCACGGACGGACGGACGAGAAAATGCGCTCTCTGCCATTCACTGCAGCGATTACTGATCTAATTTTTTTTTATCTATGAAGCGCTTTATTTCTCGACCTCGTCACGTCGCAACAATTTTCCGGGTTATTACAAATAAATAAACTTCAGCAAAGAAATTTTCATTAACATTCTTCTGTCATGCCCGGATATTCTGTTGTATAATTTACTCTGTGACGATTAGTTACTCTAATTTACATGCTCGTCTAGGTTATTATGCGCGGTGCACGCAAGCAGCAGAGGGCCAAATTTGCTGTGTTTTGCATGGTGGTATTGTGGCAAGCCTCATTAAGTAAACATGACCAACCTTGGCTCTATTCCTGGCCGTCGTAAGGAACGAATTACGACCGAACTCTTAGTCCGGGGAATTATTTTTCATTAGAATGTCTTTTCTTTATACTTGAGAGGCATTTTTTTTTATTTCTTTCGATCTTCACCTTATTCGTGAAATGTTCATCAGGTTGCCGATAAATTCCACTCACAATCTGCGTTTATTTTTTTGAGATTTTGTGAAAATTTTATTCCCATTTGGAGGTTCTTTTCCATCCGACAAGAGAATATATATTTTTATCATATTGTGCAAATTGATGAAGCTGTAGCAGTTTACTCCCGATCCGGGCGCTCCAGAATTTGAGACATCCTCTTTGATGAAAATGAGTTACGAGATCTGATTACGAAATCGAAAACACTTTTAATGTTAAATGATACATCATTTTATTACTGGGAAAGATAAAAGTGAATTATATTAATTACTAATATTATTTGATTTAATTTTTGGTATAATATTCATGATTCTTATCATAAAAATTCAGAGCTTTGGTGTGTAAATGATTTTTCAGTTTAAACTAATCGTTTATCTTCCTAATCGTCATTTCTTCCTAATTCATTAATGTGTAAGATCCAGCGAATAACAATATTATTTCGGAAAATATCGAACTAGTTCCAAGTATGTAAATAAAACCCAGAGGTATGTTTAGTAGAAAGCCAAAAAGTTATCATGCATAAGTTTGTATAAAAACCTTTTCAGGTCGCGCGTTGAAGTCAAGATCTTAGCTTTATACTCAGTAAAGCTAATTACCCCATCATTATCATCAAGACACTTGCTTAAAACTTGAGCTCCCTGTACTTGAATCTTCTTCATGCAGTGCTCAAATGAAGGGATATTCCCCTCTATGAGAACCCTCACTCATCTCCTGGAACAAAAAGCTAATTGCCTTACGAGGTACGAACATAAGAAAGCCCAACTACGACCTCTACTTTTATGAAGCTGGAAAGGCAAAGCTTGCATGGCGTAAAGCTACCCATGTCAAACGGCCGAGACAAGCGCTGCAAAATTCAGCTACGGTAAAATACAACCAGATTTTTCTCAAGGGTTAACGATGTCATAACGAGGCATGCATTTTTCTATCGTTCGTTGTTGCTGAGGTTTTTAAAGACATTAAATTACAACAAGCGAGAATCTCCTTCGTTAATTAACGTTCATGGATATTCCTGAGATAAAATTAGTGTGTTATGTTCCTGGAGTTTAACGTGATTCATATGCAAAGATAAATTATGGTATTGTCATTAACATGTATATTGCACGTTATAACTCTATCGATTTAATCAAAGGTCCGCAAATGCAATTTTATTTATTATTATGGCTCAATAATTTTATCAGCTAAAAAGAAGTGTACACGTACACTGCGAATAGAATGTTCATTGATCAGCGAAAGCATCTAATGAGCTGTGGTTACATCGAAAATCGATTAGTTTTCCTTCCGAAAAAATGGCAGGTTTTAGTTCTGTTCAGCATTCTGAGTAGTTTTATTTGTTTAGTTTGAGTAGTTAATCAAGACGTACTGTCATGACCCTCAAGACTGTCATGAACCTCAAGACTGTCATGAACCTCAAGACTGTCATGACTTTAGAGACTCTCAATGCTATCAAGACTGAAAATACAGTCATGATCCTCAACAACCTAAAAACCCTCAAGACCTTCAAAACTCTCATAACTGTCAAGACCCTCAAGGCAATCAAGGCCCTTAAAACTGTCATGACTATCTAAACTCTCAAAACTGACAAACCACTCAAGACTGTCATGACTCTCAAGGCCCTCGTGACCTTATGACCCTTGAAACTCTAAGGACCTTCAAGACTGCCATGACAATCAAGACCTTCAAGACTGCCATGACAGTCAAAACCTTCAAGACTGTAATCAAGTCAAGACCCTGCTCGTGACCTTAAGACCACAAAGCCCTTGAAACCCTAAGGACCTTCAAGACTGCCATGACAGTCAAAACCTTCAAGACTGTAATCAAGTCAAGACCCAGAAGACCCAATAGACTGTCATGATTATCACGACCCTCAAGACTGACAACACACTACCAACCATCCTCTTTAATTACCCAACTGCAGTAGCGACATCGTCCAGGTTTATTGGCCTCCGCTTTGATGCGACCAACTTCAAATACGCGTTACTCATGAGATGCAACGTCCATCCAGCGTGGCATCCCTTCATTAACATGTAGATGGTCGGTGCTTCCATGGCTGATATGGGCGACTACAGGGACGAATTCTCAGTAATTATGTTGCTTGGTATTGCGCAAGTATTGCAAACTAAATGCAGTCGGAATTTGGCTCGCGCACACTATGGGAAAGATAATTTACGTTCTCGGGCATTTATTTTAGGAATCGTGGCCTTTCAAATAGCAGCCATAAGATAGAATATCGATGCGACATTACTTAAACGCACACACCTGTAATGATAGCATTGTATGGAGAATACATAATATACTAGAACATTTAAAACAAAATCTTATCGCGAATATTTTCTCGTAATTTCTTTGAGTGTCACTCATGACAGGCAGAGGACCAGTGCCCCATCAGGCCGCCGTTTGATCTGCTGCAGGCGTACCGTCGCTCCCGACCTGAGGTCTTCACCTCGGCAGGGCTGGTCAACGGGTGAGAGTTTAGTAGTGATATTATAATGCTTTTAATAATGATAAGTATGATAGTTGTGATGTTGAAGAGCGAAGTGGAGATGAGAATTTTAATATGAAAACATAATTACTGATGAGAAACTAAATACCAATGCACTTTATTACTGATTTTAATATTATTGTGTTAATGATCAATTATGATTTACTGGTAGAATATAAATAGCAAAATCTGAAAATCATTATGGTATTTATTACTCCTAAATTGACAATGAAATTTCTCGAGGTCTATTAATAAACCTGCATGACGATGCGAAATTTTTCGTATTAAAACCACTTCATAACTTGTTCATCTGTTATTCTTATATAGTCGTAATTTTCTAAATTCACTCACGCCTTACATCAATCACTTCATTTCCGAGGAGCTTGAATCCTTTTATTTGTTTGGGATCAATGGACGGCTTCGACGCCGTGTAGTCCGATGTTGATTCTGTTTGATGTAATTTAAAGAGTGAAGCAAAATTCGTTCATAATTTCGAAAGATTTAATATATATGTTGGAATCCTGGTTCTTGAATGCACTTTTATTGTATATTTCGTTCGCCTGATGCATGCATGTCACCGAAGTTTTACTTTAGTTCTGGGCCTATACTTTCAAAAAAAGTTAAGAGATCGTAAGTTCATCAGCCAATCATTGACGGGCTTTCAAGCAAAATCCACCAATCATAGACAAGAAAATAGCGCGTAAGTACTTACGTTCACTTAGCGAGCTTTGAAAGTATAGGTACTGTTTTATAAGCATCTAAGAGTTACAGTTGCGGTGTTGGCTCTAAAGTGAACAGAAGGAAATGTTTGGTATGTGTGTTTTAATTCTGAAGATCCGTGTGGCCTAGCTAGTATAATTGACTTTTATCGTGTTATATGTTCGAAATAAATTATTTTATTCTCGATCATTGCAATACTAATTTTATGTAACCATTTTTTACCTTTGTATATTGTTTGTTTACAGAAACTGATTTTATAAAGAAAAAGGAACAAAAAAAATCGTGAATTCAAATCATTCTCCAAACAAATATACGTAACAATGTAAATAATGCTTTGTTCCCGTAATATTCATCTGGTTACCGAATGTCAATAGATTAAATTGATCAGAACCAAGGTATGACGTTCACGAAGTTCACAGTAATGTGTGATCTATCGCACAGAGAGCAGCTTTAATTCATCTCAATATTCGCGAATTTTCTGCCCATCGATCTCCCGATCAACCCTAATTTAGGGCGCTAATTTTGCATCACGATTATATGGGCCGAGTTTTGGAAGAAGAAAGACCTCGATTTTTAAAAAATGAAAGCGCCGAGCAGGTTCAATAATGGGCTCGGCAGGAGTATTGAGTGCTAAGGTTTGCTTGATTGATGAGCTCAGGGCAGAGCCGAAGTGAGGAAGGAAACTTCGAATACAAAGGCTAAAATTTCAAAGGCCAGAATTAGGAAACTGTTTCGCGGGAAAAATTTCTTGAGTTTGGATTTATTAACCCTGACAGAAGAGAGGAGTGTAAATCGCTGGATAATGTCGCTTCTGCCTACTATATTAGACAACGTTGTTCGGAATTATGAGGCCGGAAAAGAGCTCAAAAATTGGCAATGACTTAAGAGCCAGCGCTGTTCATGACTCGCCTTGAACCGGAAGCACAAAAAAAAATTGAAACACCACATTCCTTTGATTTCACAGGTTGAGCTTTATACAGTAAAAATGTATTATATTTTCGAGAGCTCCATAAAAGTTTCTAAAAAAGGAAAAGCGTCATACATCTGTCTTGAACCAGAAACTCTTAAAAGACGTTCTTTTGAACTCCGGTCTTCACGGTGCTTGCTTCTTATTACCAAAAATTTCAGAAGCCAAGGAATTTGCTGCTGCCGCTGATATTTTTTGTTATGTTCATGGCAGCGTTTTGGCTTGTTTCTTTGTACATGTTGGATAGTTGTTCTTTGCCACTCTCCTTGTATGTTTGTTACAGAAAATGTTAACTTATAAATTCGAAGCATGTAATTCGAAGTGGGGGGTTAAAAATTGCTTCTATAATGAAAATTATATGCTATTAATTAACGTAGGAATTTAACGCTAAACTTTTTCACATTTGTTATCGTTTTTAGATGAATCATGCTTTATAATCTTGCTTTTTGCAAATGTTTCCTGAAGTAATAATATCACTCGTTTGCTTGAATAGCAAATTCACTAAAAACTTAATAGCAAAGTAAACTCCACTAAAATTCACATTATTTTCTTTAAAGATAATATGAATTTTTGTGGAGTTTACTTTACTTTGCTATTAAGTTTTTAATGTTTCCTGAAATAAAAAAATGAGCACGTTCTCCGATATTTACTTTTTTGTGCAGTAATGGACCGGAGTGGAAACGATTAAGGAAAGCGATTCCAAGTTTGCTAAAATTCCAGACGATTGCTTCTTACAGAGAACGGCAGGTGAGACTAGAAGCTTCCTTCATCCTACATCAACGAGATGCCGCTAACAGGCTCATAAACTATCGGAATTGCTAGGCGTATCTTCGATATTCTTGAACTTCGTAATATTTCTTTCCGGGCAAAAAATACTTCGCTCCTTACGCTGCTTCTATGTACCAGTTAAGGCAGATATTAAAGCCAAAAGAAAGCTCTCAACATTCAAATAACTATTTTTGTTATCGGATTCGAATATTGGCTACAGTTTTGACAATAAAGTGGAAATGGATCCTTTTTGGCGAAAATGGAGCAAAACTTTACGATTTTAAAACTCGGACCAATTAATTGTATCGCAATATTTAAATCATGCAATAACCGCTATCGAGATACAACGCAAACAGAAAGGTTTTACATTCTTAGATGAATTATACATGAAAGAAAAATATTTGTCGTCAAGTGGTGCCCAGCTTATAACTCAAACTCAGTCATATAGTTTCTTTAAATGACTTTTTAATAATAATAGTAATGCCAATGATGATTAAATTCTTAAATAATAGACTTAAAAATAAAAATATATTGGAAGTTTTCATACAATAGAAAATGCGAAAATGTAAACCTTCTGACAAAAAAGAAATTCTTACTTTGCCATTAGGCCTCCATTTCTATTCGAAGCAGTTCTATTAAGAGTTTGCTAATCCAATTTCACAAGCTTTTGTTTTGGAATACAGAAAAAAATGGTAAAATTTTACGTAACTTATTCAACGCCTTTAACATGGATACTACGGCGTATAGAATTTTGAGCATTAACTGAATATTCACAGTCATCTCGCTTTGGAGCTTTATAAAACGATTATGGTTCAATGTATAACCGTTTGATGTGGATGGTAAGCGATTGCGTCCATGCCTACAGTTTCACTTTTCTTCATTTCAGTCGCAGTTTAAAGTCTCAATTCAAACCAAATATCTCCTCAGTTTTCTAACATTCTGCCAAACTTTTTGTTCTTGACTCAGCTGCTTTCTATCATAAATTGGAACATTATTTACCAATTCAACTGATATTCCAAAAAAAACTTTTAGCGCGATATGTCTACGAGATATGTTTAGCGCATTTTCTCATTTATGAAAAAAATGCATTATTGTGCTCGCCATGTCCGTCTGTCCGTCCGTCTGTCCGCCTGTCTGTCCGTCCGTGACCTCAAGTTTTCGTCAACGAGAAAATGCGCTCTCTGTCCCTCACTGCAGTGAGTACCGAGTTATATTTTTTCCTGCAGGCTTTGGTAGCGCATGACTTGGCTACCGCCATCAAGTCACATTCTTCCCATAACAACACAGCAATATCGAAAGATCCTTCTTGCAACTTGGTTCCTTCAAAGTCAACAAGAACCAAGTCAACTTCTTTCAAAAGTTCTCAGGTGCTTCCAGAAAACCAAACTTTTTGTCAAAGAATTGCCCACGATATTCCTGACGTGATGCAGCTTCTTTTCCGGTACACGCTTGAAGGTATGAGGACTTCTTTACCATGACAATTTGAAGTCCATGACAGGACTTCTTTACCATGTAAGGTTCAATACTGAGATCCAATATCGTGAAATTAATGTGTAATTTTATGCATTTAAGATGGGCAAATATTTCTGAAAATTTAATTTTTAATTGGAAGCAATTTAAACTAGAAGTAAGTTGTTTATTTTCATGGACGATTCACTTATTTGCAAACGGGCTTAAATTTTATGTTGAAATAATTAGTTTTTTTTTGTTTTGGCTAAGCGACCGGGTGTATTCTGGAGTTATAATTCCCGTGTTATTATTATTATTATTATTATTATTCTAATATTATTAATGTTCTGGAAAAAAAATTTTTGTTCATAAAGATATTTTTGAAACAAGAACTTCAGAAAAAGCGTTTATCAACGGGCTATTTCAAAGTGTAGACGCGTTGTGAGTATATATTTTTTAATATGTTGTGAAATCCTATATTTTTATTATATTTTTGAAACGCCACGAATATGATCCAGGAATTAAGTCGGTATCCTCAATATACGTATGGCTGGAATTTAAAGTGTCTGTTTGGTTGGAATTTAAAGTGTCTGTTTGGTATTTTAAAGCTGTGGGTGTGGTGGCGCTCGGTCGATTCCAGGGCTGCCTGACCCAAAACAACACCGGTGCCGCTGAGATCATCACAGCCAACGAGAATTTCCTTACGTCTCTGGGGGAAAGCATCTTTGCCTTGCCACTGCACACCATCTTCGCCACGCCGAACTACAGGAGGCTCAGAGACGCGCACGACCATATCAACAGGTGCCGTTGTTTGCAGGGAATGCGTAGGAGTAAACGGGGGTATAGAGAACGAATAGGAATTATTCAGGAAATTCTGCGTGAATTCTGAGAAACTTCCGTTAAATAAAAAGAGTAGGTGTCGTTGTTTGCAGAGAATGCGTATGAGTAAACGGGGGTAGAGTGAGCGAATAGGAATTATTCAGGAAATTCTGCGTGAATTCTGAGGAACTTTCGTTAAAGAAAAAGAGTAGAAGGTGAAACGCTTGAGACGCGTTTAATTGTAATTTGCGTAAAATTAATCATTAATTAGATCAGCGATTTCAACGTAAGAGAACGCATATAGTATGTTGAAAATAACGAGTGATCTCTCATCGAAACAAAACTTGAGAACAGCGAGATAAGGAAAGAATATCTTTAAAAAGGAATAATTTTAGAAACTATCAACGAGGGTTTAAGGATAATTGAAAAAGATTATGTATTAAAAATTAACGACATATAATCGATGCTTTCGTAGTTGAACTCTCACGACAGACTCATGCACCTGTCATAGGTATACAGTTTGATACTTTCAAGGTCATATAAATTTTTTTCAAGGCTTAATTCGTATTTAAGTCGTGTTCTACATTATGTTCGATGTCATGCGCGGCCTTGATTAAGCACCCTTTTTACGAGCAATTAAGGACTTGTGCAATTTCATTTGCATCTCCTCGTCACTTGTGTCCAAGTCTTAATTGAATCTTTCGTTTACGTCACAGAGTTGTGGAAGCGTCCTTCTTGGACCTCGAGTCTGCGTTTCAGGAGTCGCCTTCCAAACTGGAGCGCGAGCAGCCTTTTGTATGGTCGCTGATGACCAACTCGCAACTGTCCAGGCAGGACAGACTGCTCATCCTGATCGAGGTCTTCATGGGTGGCATTGATGCCGTAAGTAAAACACTTTTATTTAATTTGTAAATCTTTTTAAATAATTTGAATAATTTATTTAATTTGTGAATCTTTTGAATAATTTGAATTGTCCCTGTTTTGGGACAATCGTATAAAGCGGGACTAAATGATACGTTTACAATAGTTTTCTATTTTTGTCACCACGCAACGACCCAAGCCGGCTATGATTGTAGAATGTGCTTAGAAAGAAACGAAAACCAATTTAGGGGAATGAACTGACTATGAGAAAATATCTTTTATTGATGCTCTCATCGAATTGCCGTTGGAAATTGGATTCCCCTGCGTGCAGAATGGCGCAATATTAGCGGATGACTTTTGAAAACTGTAGAAACGTTGCAAAAAATGATCGAAGCTACTCCTAGAATCGAACTCAATGCATTTCGAACACTTTTGCTGCTCCAAAGTAGCCCATATTGGAGTAAATTTTTTGAGCGAACATCGATGATCTGCGCTCCAATATTATCGGAAGCAATCACCGAAATTACGTCGCCAGTTCGATTCGGTGCTGTGAACGGCGCTCGTAATGTACGGTCGAGAAAGGTTTTTAATTCCGACGATCGTTTGCTATATTAGGAATGCATCGATGTTCGCTGCGCTGTTAGATCGCTGGGGAGAGCAAAATGAGAATTGCAAGGGGTGGATGAGAGCAGTTATGCACATGATCGGAATAATGGGAATGGGAAAATCGATTTGAGAGAATGCAAACCAGCCAAATCTCATCCTTAATTCAGCTGCAAGTGATTGAAATAGAAAGCAATGAGATTCGCAGTGTCTCAATAATGTATGTGTGCAAAATTGAGAAAAAGAATTAAAATTGTACCACCTGCAGTTGTAGTACCGAACTAATGGAAGCAACACATTACTGTCTTGAGGCGGCCAAAATTGTTTGACGATTATGGATGGGGAATCGAAATCGAAGTTTGAACTTCAAAAAGAGAGGAAATAAAATACTAAGCGTATTTTTTATTTGGACGAAAATAATTATATTTTGATCTTAAGCAATACCTGACACCTGCAATTATCGGTACAACTACAATTTCATTCCGTTTTCAGGTGAACACGTAATTTTGAGGTAAATAATTTGTCATATGTCGACTCTGCGAAAAGAATTACAATCGCCTTTGCTGCGACGAATCAAAATCACTTAATTTTTTTATCATCCCTGAATTAATGAACAAACCACAGGTGTAGTCGCTTGATCATATCTCTTGTTCTCATGGATGATGAATTACGATCTCGATCATCGTAATTTTCTTTTTTTATTGCAATTTTTGTCGAACTTAAATAATAACTTCACTGTACAGAACGTTTCATTCTCTTTTGCAAGACTAACCTGTTTCTAGGTGAAGCAGGAAAATTACTTAGATTGATCTGCGTATAAATAACTAAGTTTGAAGTACATTGTGGCCACGAGTAGATTTGTTTAGGAGATTACGACTTGGAGCATGAAAGCCGACCCAGGGCTCCGACTTGTGCCGCATTTGTCCGTAGATTTCCTTTGTTGTGCCACAAAGGAAGCTTTGAGCCGGCAGCCGAGTTCCCGAAATATGAATAACTCTTTGCTTGGCGCATGCAAAACACAAGCTTTACATTCACTTCTAGTGGCGAGGATTCTGCTTGAAATACACTTGCATGAAACGGTAACAGGCGATGAGAAATAACATGGAAATAACGTGTTTCGCTAAAAATAGAAATTTCATGAGTAAAAAAGATAAAAAACATTATGTTAGTATAAACTATTTATACCTAAACAACTTTCACGAACTTTTTTCAAAATTCTTTCCATATATTTAGAAAATTTGTTTTCAAAATGATCACTTATCTCAGAAAACGTTATTCTGAGTTCTGAAAACGTTATTAATTAAAATTTAATTGATAGGCAAAAAGTCTATCAATTGAATTTTAAATTCACCAACAAAATTGACTTTTCACAGCTGGTAGAATTTCGGAATAAATGCGATGTGCTATGGGTAATTATGAGTTCATGTTCTTCATGAGTTTGAGTGCTTTTTGAAGCTCTTAGAAGATCATAGTTTAAATGCTAGATTTTGTGATTCGTTTTGGAATCAAATAAAATAACAAAATTTTAGGCGCTCAATATTGTTATCCTGATAATGGATTAAAAATGAAACACCCATTCATATTCTGTAATATCTGCAATATATCTCTGCCAAAATGATGCAATTTACGTATGTCTAAAGCTTAGATCTCAGCACCGGTCAGGCATAGCTCACATATAGTTTTGTTCTTCTCAAGGTCGATGGAAATTAAATTAATTAATATTAATTAAATTTAAATGTTCCTGATTAAATGTCGTTGACCCCAGATTCCTGTCAAGCCAGAACAAATTGCAATAACTTGGGGCTGCAAGTTAGATCACTCATGCAATGGAGGAGAAAAATCTGAAAATGAAAAAAATTAGGTAAAATTTAAAATAATGAAAAAAATCTGAAAATGAAAATGGGCCGTCTGTGTGAAAAATTGTTCATGAAGAAGACGTGAACAATTGATATTTTCAGTAATGGCAACATCTTGACAGTGGGCGGCTCATTTATAGCGACACCACCTTCACCAAGATCAAGATTCAGTTTATGAAATAAAAATCACGAATAATTCTGCCATCAGAAGTAAATATTTTCAAATTACCAGTGCCATCAGAAGGATATATTTTCAAATTAAAAGTACCAACCAGGCTTCATAATATTCCTAATTAATATAAACAAATAATCCCCTTCAGGTCGTTGGTATATATTCGAATATCGTCAAAGGTTTCGTCCAACTCTTATGTCATAACTCGACCCCACGAACGTTGTTGTGGCTTGAAGCTAATGCATTTCCCTCCCAATATGAGATTGCCTGCAGACGTTCAAAAGATTATGTTAAACGAATTTTTCAAATAAATTCATATGTAAAAAGCTTATTTCCATTTTCGAAACTTCAAAGGTAGGCCTGCGTTGAATATTTTAAAGAATCGTTAATGTTTGATATTGCGTACAAGTTGTTGAGCTAGAGTATCATTGATTATTCAGTAATCATGTATTTGTGCAGAATCACTGCATTTAAATGGATGTGAATTAGAGTTTGAAATTACTAACTTTAGAGCAATTATTTCTTATATTATAGCGAGGTTTCTTTGTTGTTAAAATAATATATGAAAATGTACGATAGGTAACACGATGAAAGTATTCATAAATCGCTGTGTCGTGATGGTTGAAACCACCGCAAAATGAGCTTAAGATTGGATACTTTTTTTTTGCATGTGAAAAAAGCTTAATTCTCGTTCTATTTGCTCACAAAAATCATGTGGCTTAGCGGAAAGAATTGAATTACAAAATTTTAACTTCTAATTGTCAACTTACTGTTATTAAAAATTGTATCAACTTGTCTGTAATCATGATTTAAATGATTAGGATTTAAATTTTAACTGAAAATTTCAATCACTACACATCAAACAGTGAGTTATGAAATGAATTGAATGACGAGTTTAATGAGCAAGCAAGTGTTTGAGGAAATTTTATATATTTTTTAACAAATATAAGTTCTCCCCAACTCTTCTTAATTAATCAATTGTGTGACCGGAAAGCCTCTTCGGCTTGAGTCAATGGATGTCTTTCGATGTCATCTTAAGATGATTTTCAGACGGCGTCAACCTTGGCTTTCTGTCTCTACTTCTTGGCTCGCTCCCCGCACTGGCAGGAAGAACTTCACCGAGAAGTACGCGGCCTCAACCTCACATCCGACAGTCTACAAGTTGGTTTTATCACATTTATTTGTAAACTAAAAAATTTATTCAAAGTGGTAGACAACTTTATGTGGTCCGTTTGCAAGCGATATGTAATCTGCTTTTTAAGACCATCTCATATACCACCGTAGAAATTTTATTTTTAAATTATTAATCAGATAAAATAACAGACAAGAATTAATTGATCCACGAATTTTAATTATCAAATTACACGGATATAATATTTTACAATGAAGATTAACAAAACAATTTGATACCGGTTATTTATTTGTTGTGCGACGATGTCCGTGAAAACCGACGGACAAGAAGCAATTTGTTCGAGTGAACGTTGTTTGACCGATGGCGGAGGGGCTTACATACTTCGTTGATTTTCGCTGTGGATGCTGTTGACAAGAAGGATAAATTTCTTATTATTGTTTGTTATATGTTCTACACTGCTAACGCGTATAGTATTTCGATAAAAATCTTCAAAACCAATATTTGGTTTTGCTACTCTGAAATCATTTTGTTGCTACTTTATTTGGTTAACACTGTCTATGATTTCTATTTGGAATATCGGAACCAACGCCAAATTTCTGAAGGCTATTGTGCGCTGCATTTTATTTTGTATTGTCTTGCTGGTTGAAAAGCCAAGACATAACGAGTCTCAGGAGATGCCTCCTAAACTCTGTGCCTTCTAACGACACTGCTAACGCTGCGCCGTTCTTCCAATCTCTGAACAATAATGTCTTTGTAAGTGTCTTTATGGGACAGTTCTTAGAGATATAGGATGCTTCTCAGAACCTGCAGCAAATAAAATCAAGTCATCTCTATATATTCATATTAAGCAGGTATTCTCGTTTGGGGAATTGATTTTTAACCTTCAACACTTATAGGGAGCAAAATTTCTAAAGATACAGGGTTATTCTGAATGATGGACCCATTTTGATAAATTCGTATTTATATAAGTATACATTAAAAATTAATAATATGAACACCAATGGAATAATTCATTATTTTACATAGTTATTAATGTACAATATGCCCCCCTAGTGCTGCACGGCAAACATCTAAACGGCAGCCAAACTCGTCCCACACACGAGAAAGCATATCTTCTGTTATTGAGTGCACCGTAGCAGTGATACGGTCAATCAGATCAACCAGAGCTGCTGGTAGAGGCGGGACGTAAACAGAGTTGCTGGTAGAGGCGGGACGTAAACAGAGTTGCTGGTAGAGGCGGGACGTAAACAGAGTTGCTGGTAGAGGCGGGACGTAAACAGCTTCCTTGATGTAACCCCATAAGAAATAGTCACATGGGGTGAGATCAGGTGATCTCGGTGGCCAGAAGTGTGGAGCCATTCTTCATTTCCTATGCGTCCTATCCAACGCTCAGGAAATGACTGATTTCGCGTTTGAATAGGTTGAAAAAAATTAAATCTATCTCTCTCCATTGGCGTTTAAATTTTTCATTTTTAATTCATACTCAAATAAATACCAATTTAAGTAAATTGGGTCTATCATTTAGGATAACCTTGTATATATAATATTTTTTAGATTCCACCAATGAACAACAAGTAAAGTTGTTTCTCATATATTGCCTGAAGTACAATTAATTATCAATTTTCACAGGTTCTTTTAAAATTTTTATCTGCTAAAATTTCATCTAATTTTTTTGGCAGGACTTGCCAGTGCTACGAGGCGTGCTGAAGGAGAGCTACAGGCTGCGGCCGTCACCCTCAGGAGTGGCACGTATCCTACAGCGAGATGTCGTCGTAGGAGGCTATGAGATCAAGCGAGGAGTACGTAGGTCTTGTGTAGAAAAGTACTCGCTCATCATAAAAATGTCATCAGTGCAAAAAAATCAGTGCATGAATAGACTAAGTGAGTTGAAAATACTAAGTTGAAAATAAGTAATAAAGTAAGTTGAAAATACTACTTTACAGACTAAGTAAGTTGAAAATAAGTAACAAAGTAAGTTGAAAATACTATTTTACAGACTAAGTAAGTTGAAAATAACAGAGAATTTCTGAGAATGTCAACCTAAATGCGACGGCAGACGATACAGGAGCTTATTATAACTATCCTGAGCATAAATGCATTGAGGCTCACGGTCGCTGCTAGTGTGGTTTTAACGCAGGAGATATTGGGTCGTATGGTATGTACGCAATTCGGTCACTTCCATATTTTTAATTTTAACAGGACACATGAAACAGTAAAAGACTGTTCAGAAAGCTTTATATGGGGATTTACATTTCAATCACGTTCGCAGGTTTTCCCACTCGTTGTCCGCTAAATAATTGTTTCTGGATTTAATCAGGGAATGTTTCGCTTATTTTTTATTCCTATCATTTAATTTGTATTCAGTAAGAAAACTGCCACTTGAAGGAAGGAATAAAATTAAATCTTTTTACTCTAGGATACATTTCGATTTCATGACAGTGACCGCATGCAAATTGGAATGAAAAACTAAACATCTAATGAGTTTCAACTTCATATATACAGAAAAATTTATCTTAAATCGGTGTTTAGAAGCGCAAAAATAAATCAATGAATCATTCTTCCTATGATATTTCGTTCATTTTAAGAATCTGAACCCAGGTGCTGGTGCAGGCTATTCCTTTCTTAGCGTCGAACTAAACATCTAATGAGTTTCAACTTCATATATACAGAAAAATTTATCTTAAATAGTTTTTTAGAAGTGCAAAAATAAATCAATGAATCATTCTTCCCATGATATTTCGTTCATTTTTAGAATCTGAACCCAGGTGCTGGTGCAGGCCATTCCTTTCTTAGCGTCGCGAGCTCCAACGCAGTTTGCGGATCCCGATGTTTTCAATCCGGGCCGCTGGATCAGACGGGATTTGCAGACGAAAGACGGCGAACGTGATCTGGTGGGTAATGGATCAGCATCCGGCGCAGTTAGCCGTACTGTGGCAATGCCAACCTTCACCGATGAATATATGCCTCGGGAATTAGATAATAATATAATTATTAATATAAAATGTAATAATATAAAATAAATATTCATACTTTGAAAAGTATGAATACTACTCAATTGGGAAATAAATTCTTCGATTAATAAAATTGGCAGATGAAAACAAACTTCATATGCTAGCTTCAAGTGATAAATATTAGAAAATAAAAGTAACTCGTGATACCGTGTTAGCCGGTGAGTAATGTTAATTGGGATGGTTATTTGCAAATGAGCGTAGCTGCGTGCAAGAAGATCGTTCAATTGTTAGAAAGGTGATAAAGTTATATCGATTTAAAATAATCCTCTAAAGTTATTTTGGTATTGAAGCTTACCAAATAATGCTTAAATTTTTCGTGATTGCCTAGTTGTGGATTGTCATGGAAGTAAGTGGAAAGAATAAAGTGAAAAATGACCGATAATTTATGTCAGAAATCAACTGCTACTTAAGATGTTTTACCCGAGTGACCGGCACGGCCAGAATTTAGCAAAAATACAAGATAAATCAAATATAGAGTAAAAGTATAAACACTTGATTGTTTTGGAAACAGAGGATTCGAAATAAATTAAAAAAGTTTCCAATGACATGAAGACTCCTGAGGTATTTTACTTAAAACGTAAACCCAAATTCGCTTTCTAAGAAAATAATCCCCTCACTCATTTTTAACTTGCATTTCGAATGAAGTATCGTATGAAGTTCGGTTTCTTCAGCATTTTAGGCTTTCTTCGGAAAGCGTCTGAAGGTCTTGATAATAAATTCGGGTACGACAAACGCCTGTGATTTACGGGCTTCGAAAAAGACAGAAAATTCGCTGGATTCGAAACGGCAAGCCCGAAGAATGGCTGCTAGGGGCCTTGTTTCACTTTAGAGTTAAAAGATGACACACGAACGTTATGTGGATTGAATATCAGAATTCTTGATACTAGATTAAAAGTGTAATTCATGTAGTTATTTTTTATCTGTAGATCGGATCAGTAGCACTCTGTAAATTAGACTCATTCAAATAAATTTTCACGAGACTAGAAACCGTATACAAATTTGAGAAAACTTGAGAATTTCCGACTCTTGCAGATAATGATGTGACAAGCCCTCATCCGGATTTCACTTGATTCACGAGCTTGTAATATGTTATTTTCAAATTTACTGGACACCATCTTGCTTTCGACTTACGTGAATATCTATTATTCAAATAATTATAGAATAGAAGTGTCGGCGTTGAAGAAATAGGCCCATGGCCTGTTGCCGATTCTTGAACTTTTTGTGACTTGATTCACACGAGATCCGACCTTTGGAAACCAATCTTTCCATATCTGACGATTGATTGAGATAGCTGCTGGACTTATTGATTCCTCATAGGACTTGCCTTTCAAGCCCGGAACTATTCTTGTTGCGCGTCATTGAACACTCTCTACTAAATTTCTGTCCTTTTCAAATTTCGGTGACCATACGAGGTTTCCAAACTCTAGGTTCGGGCGCACGACAGCAACAAACAACTGCTTCATCGTTCCTGCATCTAGGAACTCGAAAGAGCGTCTGATCAGTTCAAGTCGTTTATTGGCTTTATTAACTTGACCTTCAATATGCTTAGAAAATTTCAACTCATTGTCGATGTTAACTCCTAAATCCTTTTCCGTTGTCGACTTCGACATCATCACTCTGTCGTTGCAACCGTGTCTTCTCATACTGTAATCTTGCTTAACTGACTTGACTTGCATTCTATCATTTTCAGCGTTATCAGTGAAGAATGCAATAGCAACTAAGCTCTTAGTAATTGCTCCTGCTTTAGTATTCATGCATTGCATACCAATCGCAAGCGCGTCTCGCAATCATGCTGAAAAGTGCATAGCTAAGGAGCAATCGTGACGATCTAGCAATACTCTTTTGGCAAGTTATTACACATCTCCTAAGCCGTAATATCGCTCCCTCGAGTCTCGTACAAGTGACTCATCAAGAAGCTTTGGGAAAAATTACAGGTTCTTTGTTGCAATCTCGTCATTGCAAATAATAACACTGCAACAGATGCGTATGAATGCTTGAACCTGCTTATGATTTCAGTTGATACGTAGTATTTACAGCTCTAATCATAACTACTTAATAAAATTTACCCTGTTTCATCACCTCCTCTCAGAAATAGAAAGAGTGTGCGAATTAAAATAGTTCTTTTCTTTAATGACAATCCTAAACTTTATAAATAATCTTTGAATTTTAAAATGCGAACATTTTTTATTCTAGAACAAACATTGTCTATTTTTATTTGAACAATTATTCAAGAATGAACAGCACTGGTTTTTTCCAGCAAATATTTTGGTTACCCTGTGTTTTTGCAGCATGATTCCAAATAGATCCTCTGCACACGCATAGAGAAACATAGCAATTTATTAAAAGTTAAAATAAAATACTCCTGGTACGTCATCAACGTACAGAAACAACATATCACCTATAAACTATATTTATAGAATTCACACGGGATCAATATACCTGCAAAACATAAGACATACATTTACTCGATTAATTTTCTCATCATGGTGTTTGACCGTTCCTCGTCGCAGCTCAGCCAATCCTTCATCATGGAGGATGAGACGAGCAGAGAGGCAGACCCCGACGCTTCTTCTGACGCTGCAACTGCTGGCAATCACCCGGGCTTCAGAGAGACAGGCCTGGGTCAGGTCCTGAGACTCAACATGATGCCTGCTGCTCCAATTGCCATTCGCTTTATTGAACGCCACTAGATGCGTTCCAATTGCCATTCGCTTTATTGAACGCCACTAGATTCGCTCCAATTGCCATTCGCTTTATTGAACGCCACTAGATTCGCTCCAATTGCCATTCGCTTTATTGAACGCCACTAGATCCGCTCCAATTGCCATTCGCTTTATTGAACGCCACTAGATCCGCTCCAATTGCCATTCGCTTTATTGAACGCCACTAGATTTGCTCCAATTGCCATTCGCTTTATTGAACGCCACTAGATTCGCCACCATTGCCATTCGCTTTATTGAACGCCACTAGATTCGAATGCAATTCCCTGTGTGCTTGTCAGTGTATCGTTCACACTTACATTAATCACTATTTTTTAATTATACATGTGAAATTTGGATGCATAAACTTAATTCTAGAAGTCGGAAGTTCATTATAAACAGTAAAATTAAATTCTGTTTGGTTGTCATATGTGCGTTTTTCTTGAATTTTTGGCATGATTCATTTCAATGTTTCCAACGAGATTTTTATGCACATCAATGATGAATGCTAATTTTATTTCCGCATGTCCAATTTAAGTTGTTCTAAAGAAATATAATACTTGCTGAATATTTGTAATTGTCAACATGTTTTCGATATGCATTTTGTGAAATTTAAAAATTGAATCAATAAATTTCGCTAACTAATCGCCTCCTGATGCGAAAACATTAGTTATTGTGATTAAAGATCATGAAAACAACATAAAATACACTATATCCTTTTAGAACAAAGGGAAAATTTTCCAGTTTCGCAAACACAGTTTGTTTCTAGCCGTCCCAGCATCGGTACAGCTGGACGCAGCCACCCATCCATCAGATGTCGGGGTCTGGAAATTGAAAGGCGGGCTTTCGCCTTGATGATCGAATGCACGCAATATGGATGAAAACGCCAATAAATAAATTTTCATGTCTACGGATATAAGTTTTAACATTCAAATCCTGTCCTTATATAAGTCACTTTTTGGGGGGTGGTTTAGGGTAGGAAAAACAAATTGCTCATTTCTCATTGCTCATCTCTCATCTCTCTCAATTGCTCATTGCTCATTTGAGTAAATGAAATATTGGGTGCAAAAACCGTGGAGTTTGAACGGCTCACAACATTTTAATTATCATTTGCATATTTAGCTTGATTTGCTACTCTCGACTTTCAACAATGAGCTTGATCAATTAAATGATGAAAGGTGATGAAATTTGGAAATAACGATGATTTGAGCTGCTTCTAATATCATGTCATGTTGTACTCTACCTCTAACAGGTCATACTTAAAAATTACGCTAACGTGTAGAATTTTAAAATTTTTTATGTTAATTTATATATGTAAAATAGAAGAAAATATGTTATCTAATTTATCAGTAATCAAGAAAAAAAGTATTTACAAACCTGATATCTAATGGTCCAAAAATCTGAAGTGTACCGATGAAGTTCGACACTATTTTCCTAAACTTTTGCCTTGACCTAAAACGATGTGCTTTATTTTCGTTCACTTTTTACGCCAGCGGAAACTCTCAGTTACAAATTTATACCTGAAGCTCTGAATTTCTTTTGAAGGAGGAAAACTTTAGATTGCGCCATTGTTTCCATCCCTCAACGGAAGCGAACTTCTGAATATCAAATGATACTGCAATCATATTCTGCAGAGCCTTTGATGCTACCTCTACCATGCTACCATATGACCTTTGATGCTACCATATGACGCATCTCTAATTTCCAAATGTATTAGTAATGAGAATCCGTAGTTTGATTTTTTTTAATTTAGCCTGGAAGTGGTTTTGTTTGATCGTTTCTGAAGAGCATTTGAAGTAGAGAGAAATACTTCGTGTGTTCGTGTTCAGGACCAACTTTGAAATTTATAAAATTCAAACTTCTGTTTGTTTTCTGATGACACTTGAACGAATAATTGGGGAAAATTTTACAGTTGCGTGCCAATAGGAAAAAGTACCAGTTTTACAAGGACCAGTTAGTTGCATACCAGTTTAACAAGGAAGAATTATCACTTAAGTTCATTTTATTGATACTGATCTTATTCTTATACAAGGATGAAAAAAAATCGTCAACAATCATTACTGATAAAAATTGAGAAATATCTTAAAATTTAGTCTAAGTACCATTAATACATGAATGATTTGAAACAATTATGGTAAACATGAATGATTTAACAATTATTTCGTGCGCATCTGAAATAATTGTTATCGAATTAGCATCCGTTTAATGATTTTGCCAAATTTCCGAGAGATTAGAGTAGACAATTGATAATTTTTCTAGCGAAAAAAAATTGCCGCTTCATGGCAGATAGATAAAAATTTTAAAGCTATCTTAGGAGAGCTCCTAGTTGCTTCTTCCGGCTGGTCTTTTATCAATGTAAGAGGCAACAGTTTGTATTTCTGATAATTAATTCATAACTCTAAATCAGGGTACTAAGGGTTCATCCACCAATCTAATCCGCAATCCACCAATGCGGTACCAATCGAATCCGCAACAGAACTTCAGTCCTTGCAGTCAGGTCAAACCACTGATGTTACTTGCATTAAATTACCTTAATTATTGTTGCTTGCTCACTAAGAATCAAGCCTAAAAAGCAAATAAAAAACTTTTAAAAACCACGTTTTCTTAACGGACAAAAAATAAAAACATTTACTCTTACATCACATTTAAGTCATGTAAAATGTTATGTAATGTTATGTAAGAGTAAATGCTTTTTTTGTCCGTTAAGAAAACGTGGTTTTTAAAAGTTTTTTTATATGTTTTATTTCACTATTTTTAGTTTTGTAAAAAACAGAAAAACGTGGTTTTTAAAAATATTTTTAATATTTATTTATTTTCTAGTTTTTAGTTAGCAATTTTAGCATTTCAAATCAATTCCCAGGGTTGGCAAGTGTGGATGTTCGAGAAAAAACTCAATTCCAAACCGTGAATTTTTAGTGTTTTTTTTTTATTTTTTTTTATGAAAAAAAAATTTTTGAATTATTATTTCTGATGATCAAATCTTGAATTGTTAGGCAGCATAAGCATGCATGCAAAATTTCAAGTTTCTAGGATGTTCAGAAAAGCTCTAAATTGAGGTCTGAATTTTTGATGACAGACAGAGAGACAGACACGAAACGAAGCTAAGATAAACGTGGTAATATATTTATTATTAAAAATAACAGTAATTAGATCATATTTTCCGCCACATTGATGATAAATGCTAGCAATGGAATTCTTTTTTGCATAAACCGATATTTATTATTAGGAAAGGAGACTAACCTATAAAACTGAGTTTTGTTGGCTAGTTTTCGACTATTATTGCGTTTTGACTATTCACAAACCTTTTCTTGAGAAACAAAAAAAAACAACATTTAGAACTGATTTTTTGACAAGATCATTCCTATTTTTTATAATACCGAGGTAAAAAANATTCACAAACCTTTTCTTGAGAAACAAAAAACAACATTTAGAACTGATTTTTTGACAAGATCATTCCTATTTTTTATAATACTGAGGCAAAAAATAATATAAATTTTCATAATTTTTATTTAGAACAATTTAGATTCACAAACCTTTTCGTCAATTTTAATGAAATTCAAATATACGGTCATTTTCGGACGCTTTTCGATTGCTTTTTATGAGTTTGCAGTATCTGTTCAGCAAATATCCTGTCGTGAACTCCAAGGTCCACAGCTCGAGGTCACTGCAAATTGGCTACCAAATGGATATCACAGGCAGATTATTGTACTAGAATGGCCGCTGGCCAAGATTGCAACGAGCTTAAATGTTCTGCAAATTCAGTAAAAGCTTTCTTGTTTGCTGGTCGTTACGAATCTCGTAATGACAAGCCCGGCTTCTGAATGTTTAGGGTTTCATGTTCGCAGTTCGGATATTTATAAAAATGAGTAATAATGTAGATTTCATGTTATATTCGTTCACAAAAGTAGCCTAATTCCTAACAGAGATGAAGTTATAATTGTAACTGATAACATTAAAAAGGCTTCATGAAAAAGATGAGTTGAGCTGTCTAAAAGTGGCAATCAAATGAAAAGAAATATTTGAAAGTCATATGATTTTGCTATGGAATTATAATTTGATAGAAAAAATTGAATTATTATTTGTTGAGAATCAATTTAACACATGTAACATGGAAAAGGCCAGATAAAAATTTTAATACAAAAATAAAAGCAATTGAACCGACCCATTGAAAATGAACTGCGACTCTTGTTGGAAATGTTTGGGTCTAAGTAAATAATGAAATTTCAATCCCAGATAAAATGACCAAAAAAACTACTATAATTTTTGGAAGGGAGGCATTCTAGTGATGAACTTTTGGTTCTTGGCACGATTATCGCTGGAATGGCAACACAGTATTAATGTACAGTGCAGTTTAAGTTGAAAAGAAAAACATTTTCTTTAAATGAACGATTTCTGTACATGTTGTAAAAGAGTTCAAAGCGTGTGGTTCATTTGCTTTAAAATCCGGAAAGCCTTTATCGTCGTAGTGTGGACTAGGCTTAATCATGTTAATCGGATTGAACATCTCAGACTAAATTCGAACAGAAACGCCGCGCCGATGTCGCTCATTATAGCGATAGCCATGCTAATTTTCATTATAACGATGGCCATGCTAATTTTCATTATAGCGATAGCTATGCTAATTTTCATTATAGCGATAGCCATGCTAATTTTCATTATAGCGATGGCTGTGCCAATTTCCGGATTTGCTGATAGGTATCCGTTCAATCTATGAGTATCCTGCACCAAAGCTGCTGGTATTTTGGGCTGTCGTGAGCGAGGAGTAATCCGCTGAGCATCTCATTATCCTGACTAATGAGCACAATCCCGTCGGCCTTTTTTTTGAGCTGTTACCCAGAGAAGGACTTCTTAATAAGATTAAACTTGGTATAGTGGATCCTATTTCTCTCAACCTATTGATTGCAGGTATACTTCGGGTTTAGATGCTCATATGAATGCGCGTTGGAGAACATTTAACTGTATTTTTGAATTGAGTGACATAGCGTTGATTTAACCGTCGCGTTAATTTCAACGGGGAAATTAACGCAACGGTGAAGTCCTAAATGAAGACGTGCAGTCACGTTCTTCATTCAGTCTTTTGTCACTGATTGATATTGAGAATTTTTCAATATTGTTATTCATGATAACCCATGCTGCTAACTCTTATTTTCCGCGAAAAATTAGATGAATAATTTTCAAATAATTAAAAATAATAATCAATCGATTCCGCTCAATAAAAAATTTGGACAACAAATTGCGAAAAAATAAACGTACAGAGTCACATGTTAACGATGAGAAGTCGATGTCATGTTCTTATTTTAACTTGATATTATTTAAATTGGATACGAACCTGAGCTCAAGAAAACACGACATTCGGCAGGTGCAGATGTTCATTGCAGATTCATATTAATTTCACTGGTTTACGTAGTAAAATTAAGCTTTGCAGCGCAGAACCAAGCGTCTTCAGTCCGCATCGTGGAATTCCAGACTAAAAATGGCTTCGTTAGCTGATTGAACAAGGGAAAGCTCGTTTGTCATGTCGTGCATGTAAATGCAAATTCTGCGACACGAGAAAGTTTGTGGCCTGCGTACAGCGTTTCAATAAACTTTGCGCCTTGCAAGCTCCTGACCGCACATAATGATAAGAGAAAAGTTTAAACATTTTGAAACTTGATTTTTTTTGTTACCCTCTAATTAAATATCTAGTCGCTCCGATGCTGCCTGGGAGATCGTGTGTGGTGAGAAGCAGGCTGGGCTAATTTAACCCATTGTTGCCCTTAAATGGATAACCTTGACCTAGTTTGGTAACCGGTTGGGTTAACTTAACCCGTTTTTGCCTTTAAATGGGTAATCTTGACCCAGTTTGGTAACAGGTTGGGTTAAATTTGAAAGTAAGGCCCCTAGGCCCTTACTTTCAAAAAAAAAGTTATGAGATCGTAAGTTCATCAGCCAATCATTGACGGCCTTTCAAGCAAAATCCACCAATCATAGACAAGAAAATAGAG